AGGCAATTCCGCACTCAGGAAGCACAAGTAGAAAATGGTCTGTCCATAGTTGTAGTCGTTGGTGTTCATATGCAAGTCGCCCAGCAAGTTGTCACTCAGTGCCTATGCAATCGGTCAGTGCGAACTCAAGACACAATTCGTGTGATTGTCGTGTACCTGAGAGATGTTTGCACGATCCAGTTGTCTGCGAATACAGTCAGCGCTTGTGTTGCACATGCGAGTGGAAAGCTCTACTCACAACGCAAAGAACATCAAACAAACCCATGTACAAATGCGCTTGTCGATCTAATCTCGTCAGTATAACTCCTTCGACCCATTCATCGATTCCTTACCTTTCGGACGACTTTGCGTTCTTCCTCCGGCTCCCACTCAAAGTCGGGATCATATCGATGTATGCCCTCATATGTATCGACGGGCCTGTAGTTGTCTTGACGCAGTCCATGAGTCGAGAATGCATTTTCTCCTCGACGTCCCTTGCTGGACGAGTGAACACCAATCTCGCTACCACTGGCACTTTCGGTAAGATCTATCTCTTTGCTGGCAGCAGGAACGTCGCCAGATGATACAGGTTCCGTTCGTGGGTCAGGTGCCATGATATGCCAATGTCACGGCAGTGATGCTTGGTGTTGCTGGGCTTAGTTCAGATGCGACAAGACTTTATAAAGCGCTTACACCATGCTTGGCCGCAGTACGTACCGCCAGCACTCTTCCGCTAAAGCCAGGCCATGCAATGGGTGGGCTTGCTCGGAATAGTCCCACTTTTGGCCTATCGCGGCTTGCAAAGGCCGTCATATTCGCCTGCTATTCCCTGTAGCAAAACTCAACGCCCTCGTCATGACAGCTATTAGCCACGAGTCGTCCCTATGATAAGACACACTGAGGCGCCACAAGAAACCATCTCGCGAGGGAATAGAGAAGCACGCAAAGGGTACCTTGTATGTCGCGCTGCTTAGCCCACATCGAGTCTTGACTGCCTCAGGCTGATTCGCTGTGTTGCTCATGGCGTGATTGGGTGGGATACTCACGACATACCCCACGAACCGAGATCTCCACACCTACATCGTCTTTGCCATGTACTGGCATTAAATCCGTCATGACGCCAGATTTGGAGCGGATACATAGTTGTTGGGGGGTATTTGGTGTATACCCACGTTGCATTGGATCTCGCCATCGCCTGGCAGCCTTGTTGTACATGTCGCGCTAGCCGAGACAAGCACGGATTGAGCAATCTTATGCATGATTGTCGCCATCTAGCTTCGTTCTGATTCCCCGGGAATACTGCGGTAGAAGAACCCAGCGAAGCGCGTCGAGGGGCAAGCACGCGATGATAACGCGCAAGGCCCGCTTCCTCGCCACTGCTGGTAGGAAGCGGGGTCAAGTTTCGTGTATTCCCGTTGTCGATCTAGGGTGGAAGCAAGGAGCCGATTGCCGGATGGTACTGGTGTAGTGTATAAGAGGCGCTTGGTCCCACGACAAGGAAGTTTGAAAGCCGGAACCTAACTTTTGGTAGCATTTCTCTCCTATTCATAATATCATCATGGCTCCAGCTCTTGTCGAACAAGTCGTGGAACAGCAGACAGTTGGTTACAAGTCAGGTGTTGGACAATATAAAGAAGCGGGGTTTGGTGGGCCAAAAGTCTTTAGCAAAGACCTTGAGCTGAGAGGAACGGATATACATGCACCAACGAGATATCCCAATTATCTGCCCGTCTGGGATAATGAGAAGGAGAAGTGAGTAGCATGGAGTCCAAACAGGACTCGCAAATCTGATATACCATGCAGATACGCCCCTCTCGAGCCTTTTCAGCACACTGAGCACGGCAAAGACGCCGACCCATCGTTCCCCAACCTCTTAAAAGATGCAAAGGTCGACGACTTGACTGCAAACATCGGCGCTGAAGTCCACGGCGTTCAGTTGAGCAAGTTGACCGCTGCCGGCAAAGATGAGCTTGCGTTATTCGTCGCGCAAAAGAAGGTCGTTGCATTCCGAGACCAGGACTTTGCAGACCTTCCGATCCAGGACGCCCTCAACTACGGTGGCTACTTCGGACGACACCACATCCATCCCACATCTGGAGCTCCAGAAGGGTATCCTCAAGTCCATCTCGTCCATCGCGGAACTGATGACACATCCGCGCGCGACTTCTTTGAGGAGCGAACGAACTCGATCACATGGCATTCCGATGTCACTTACGAGAAGCAGCCACCTGGCACAACCTTCTTGTACCTGCTCGACGGACCCGCAGCCGGTGGCGACACACTATTCGCCAACCAAGCGGCAGCATACAATAGGCTATCTCCAGAGTTCCGCAAGCGTCTTCACGGTTTGAAGGTTGTTCACTCCGCCGTCGAGCAAGCCGACAACAGCAAGAACCGCGGCGGCATCGTCCGTCGCGATCCAGTGACTTCCATCCATCCATTGGTGCGCACGCATCCGGCTACTGGCGAAAAGGCACTGTTCGTCAACCCTCAGTTCAGCCGTCGCATCGTTGGCTACAAGAAGGAGGAGAGCGACTTCCTCTTGAACTTCTTGTACGACCACATTGCCAAGGGTCAGGACTTCCAGGCACGCGTCAAATGGGCGCCGGGGACTGTTGTCAGGTTGTGGGGACAACCGGGTGACTGCCCATTCGGCGCTCTTGGATTGGGATACCGGTGCGCGAAGACATTTGGCGAGGATCACGCCACAGGCTGAGGCGCCGTTTGAGACACCGCTGGAAGGGAATGGTGGTGCAGTTCAGGGCTTCGAGTATTAAATTATGAGCTGCAATGAAAGCTTTGAGGACTAGCAATTCCTCATTTGTTAATTCCCTGTTCAGAGGATGCTCCGCTGCATTCGTGATGTACACCGGGGATTCTCGAGGTTGTTCGGAGACCAGCAGCTTCACACATTTCCTTGAGTAGTAAGAACGCTTCCTTTGTTCGCGCCACAGAGGTCGCGAAAGTCCTTTCATGTGGCGTGCCAATGGTTCGCCGATGTGATTGACGGTGTTGTAGACCAAAGGAAGTGGGAAGGACGCGAGGTGCGACGCGCTACCATCGGCCCTGTGCGCAACTTTGAGAAGTGACCACCAGAGTCTTCCCTGCTCTTCACACTACTAGCACCTGTACTTTGATTACCATTCTAATGTCTCAATCGTTCGTTATGCAGTCTGCTTGGTCCTCGGTCTCACCAGCGCACTGACATCACGTCGCAACCGAAACGTTTGACTCACTTTTGTATTGATTGAGAAATGATGCTTCTTATAATAGAGCTGTGAGATGTTCCAAAGGTTCCCAAAGGACTCTGGCCGAAATTCCATCTCTCCTTCCCCAAGTCTGCCGCCCACGCAATGCCATTTTGTACATGAGGAAAGCAAATCCCTACCAAGCGCATGTGTAGTAGTCCGTCGAAGCGCCGCCATGCTTGCGATCTGTCAAAGCCGGACGTATCTGAGTGTGTATGCTTGCTCCACCGATGTAGTATGTCTAGACACACGATGTTCAGGCGTCGTCGGCGGCGTCGTATCCTTCAGCCATGATGCATCGCATGAGCAGACTATCGTTGAGTAGATACCCCACATCTGCTCTCGGCTTCCCTTCCAATGTTTCAGATTCTCCGTCCTCCGCAGAAGCCTTCGGCATATTGTCCATCGCCTCTGCCATCTCCTCGAGGTTTCCATTGTATCCGTCTTGCAAGAAGTCACGGCAATTGTCGCAAAGCCTCAAGCCGCAGCCGACACGTGTCTCGCCATCCTCTACTCCATTCAACGCGAGCTGCGTCGTGCAGCAGCCAATTTTCGCAGGCGAAAAGCACATTGAGCACCAACGTGACAGCTGATACCGCATTTCTGCAGAGCCAGGCTCGGCATACATGAGGTCATCACTCATCGCAGCAAAGTCCAGTGGAAGCGTATCCTCTGGCATCCTTTCGTAAGTGTGGCAGTCGCATAAGATGATCTGGGCTCGTGCCATGGTGCAGTCCTTGCACATTCTCGTTGGGTCCTTGTCTTCGCGGTGGCCGCCACCTACTTCAGTATAGCCAAGACCACTGTGCCATTTGATGACATAGACTTCGCGCTCGAATTCGCCTACGCATCCAAACATGGGCAATTCACAAAAGTTGCAGTCACTGGTCTGGTTGAATTCAACCGGGTGTGCGAAGGATGTTTTGACCTTTCTGATGAGGCCTTTGTTACCGTCATTGTCAATCAGGTCGAGCTCGGGTGTGGGCTCGCGGGAGAGTGGCGTGTCATCGTCGCGCATCATGTCCTCGAGATCTTCAGGGCTGAAGAATTCGGAACCGGGCATTGACACCTTTGGAGCTTCGCCTTGCGTTGGATGCAACAACGCTTTTTTCCTGGCAGCAGCAGCTTGTCTCTCTGTTATTGCCTTTGGAATGTCGTAGAACGTACATCCAATACTGTTGTTCTTGCAATGATTGCACGGAGGTTTGTCCGTCTTCTTCTTAAGTGAGCAGCGTTTCTTCTCTGCGCGGCAGAACGTGCATTGAACATGCTTGCGATTAGGGCCATAGAGGATTTCGTCGATGGAGATACGTGGCGCCTTGTAGTTGAGCGGAGGAAGAGCCTCGCAAACAAATTGCCCGTCTGTACATTGGTCGCAGATGGATTGGCCGGGATTGTCTTCGAATGAGCAGGTGTCTTCATCGTCGTGGTCGCACTGCTTGCAGCGTCCTTTAGTCACGGGCTTGATTATGGGCTCGCATACTGTATCTTCCTCTTCGCATTCGTCACAAGGGAATGAGCCACCAGCGACCATGGTACAGTCCTTGTCATTGATTCGACATTGCTTGCAACCTCGCGCTGCAGGGTAGCCTGTGATGTCATCCACAGAGCCTTGAGGATCCTCAATGGGGATCTGTATATCGATACCCGGAGTTTCGTGTCGGTACCAGCCTTTATACTCATTGGCTTCTTGCTCATAATCGGTGTCGACCTCAGACCAGTCGACCGGCCAATTGTCCTCGTCGTTGGTGTAGTTTCGGACGTTGCCGAATGCTTTGAAACGGAGCCTCACGATGTATTTCGGGACGTGCTCCTTCTGGACCTTTGCCTTTCCCTTGCCCTTGCTCTTTTTCTTGGCAGCTTTCATGGCTTTCGCCTTTTGGAGCTTGAGCGCCTTGATTTTCGCTTCTTGGGCCGGATCATAGTTCCCAGTCTTGTCCGTATCGATGTATGTGGAAGTTTTGGCGCGATCAATGTTTTGACGCAACTCGTAAACGGGCTGTGAATGTGAGCTCAATCCATAGTACCGGTTCGAGCAGTAGAACTTACCCGGTCATCTTGAGGAATCATGAAGCTGTCCTCGGATGCTGCTCTAGAACCCATTGCCAACATGTCATCTTGCTCAAAGGACCCAAGACCTAAGCCGAGATCGAACGGGTGGTCGTCTTGCGCATTCTGGAACGCTTCGGTGTCATTTTCTTCCTGCTGATCGAGGTTCAAGCTGGACATGCGGTGGCGGAAGTCGGGGGATGGTTCGGGAGCATCCATGTCGACGTCCACGTTCACGTCGACGTCTTGGTCATTAAAGTTGCTTTCGAACTCCGGCTCTTGCGCTTCTTCAACCGGACCACCGAATAGAGACTGACGCGGCCTTTTAGCTCTTGGGCTTGCTTCTTCGCCAACATCGCCCTTGTTGGAGCGCCTAGGTGACTTCTTGCTCTTGGGCGACGGTTTCCGAGCTTGTTCGGCCTCACACGAGCGATCGAACTGCAGGCCCTCGCCCTCGTCGTCAGAAAAGCCCTTCGGTAGCGAATCATAGTTCATGGGTTGCTGGGCGCTATCGGTGTCGTCGAAGAACAGCGGATCTAGGTTGCTGTCTTCCCGGGAGCCGCCCAGCGTCGGCTCATCATTGCTGCGCTCAACAGCGGAATTCTGGTTGACTATGACATCCTCCTCGGCATCAATGCCATGTGGAAGGTTAAAATCAAACTCGCATTCTGGGCGTGGTGGCATTTCGTCATGGCCGGCGTTAGCCATGATAGAGGAGCGATAGCTGTACGTTATGCTCGATATTGTGCTCTTGTAATGATGGGATGGGTGTCACTTTGATCAATCGCGAGATAGTTGCAAAGATTACGCGATTGCAGGGAAAGAGAAGAACGTGTGCTTGGGGGAGCCCTACCACGAAGCAATAGAGATGGCCACTAAATATACCTCAAAGTTGCCGCAAGTGAGGACGAGTAATGCCAGCAGGTGAGAGAATTCGGCGGGATTTGGCGAACGTATCCAGCAGCTTTAGTGAGAGATCCGTTGGGGACGAGCACAGATGATTCGTGGAAGCGCCATAGCGCTTCGCGACCACACAATCAGGTGAGGCGGTATGGCTTTATGTTCCGGCCATGGTGTCATGCGGTCGAGCGGCAGCGGGCGACGCAAGGAGCCTTTTTGACGTGACATCAGTGTCGTCAACAAGACGATCGGATATTCCAGAGTGGCTCACAGAAATGACGATGTGTTTATCCAATTCAAGAATTTACGTGCCGTGAATTGCAACGTAAACTGAGTGAGCATGTTGTATTTAGATAGTGTATCGAAATTGGTCGAAGGGTTGATTCATTCGGGTCGAGAGAAAGACAACATACGGTGGACCGTACATGGATGCAAGAGTAATGTAGATTGCATGATATTGCAAAGCAACTGTCAAGATTCCGCAGACAAAGATCCAGCGCTCCCGCATGAATCCTCTCGTGAAAACATGTAGAAGTTAGGGTTAGGCTAACATCCAGGCCGGTGAAAATTGAGGGGATTCCGTGAGTGGCTCTGCTATCATAGCTCCATTAGATATCATCACTTGAGTGAATGTCTGGAGCTGTCATGTTCCGTAAGGTTGCGGTAGGCGTGCTGTCGCTTGCTTGAAGCGCTGAGCCGATGTGCTCGGTTTGGTACCACGGCCCACGGACAGATGCTTTCGTATTCCAGAATCCCTTGCATCCATTATGGAGGCAGATTTGACATCGCGAGGCTCGCTTGGCGAAGCAATTGTTATATGTGATGATCCGTTGCCCGGAATATCGTGATCTGGTTCTGTACATACATCGTTTAGTGCTTTTCCAATCATGTGTCGTATGAGGCTCTCGAAATTACAAGGATCCAGGACACGTTATTGCGCAATGGTTGGGACGGAGGAGCCCGTTGCAGACTGCATCTTGATGGGTGCCGTTTCAATGGTCAAGCCGTGCTCGATTGTGGGTTCTCTGTCTTAGTCACCCACAACGCTAGCACGGACCCTTGCGCAAAATGTCTGTCTTTCTCCCGAACTTGAGCCTTTCTTTACATTATCATACATTTCTGATGAAGCTCGACAACGCGTCCTGCCGCCCTTTGTGGGCACCATGGCGCAATCGATGAGGCTGTTTCTGATCCGGCATGGAGAGACAGTCGACAATGTCGCTGGCCTTTAGTATGTTGCTTTTCGACTGTGCGCATTGTTCTCTGCTAATCTTCTCAGTGCCGGCGTCAGAGACTCAGAGCTCACCAATCACGGGTACCAGCAGGCGACTCGCCTGGGCCTATACTTCAAGACCAACGCGTTGTCCTTCACGCACCTCTTCTCGTCGCACCTCCAGCGCGCGGCCAAAACCGCTGGGAAGATCCGCGAAGCACAGCTTGCACTGGCCGGAAATGATGATGCAGCGGCGGATGTGCCAGAAGTGGTGCAGCTCCCGTTGCTCGTAGAGCAGGACTTTGGGTCGATGGAGGGGAAGAAATTCCACGAGCGCCCGCCAGAGTCGAAGCTGACCGGCAAGGAACATCATCGCCAAGAGAGTAAAGGCACGACGGGCTTCGTGGACGTGGAGTCGAAAGACGACATGGCCCGGCGCGCTAATACCTTCCTCGATGAGCATCTTCTGCCCCTGATGGATGAAACCCCTGGGGCGGATGAGCAATGCATCGCCATCGTTTCGCATGGCATCTTCCTGTCTACACTCTGGAAGCGACTGCTTCATCGCCTGCCAGCAAAGAGTGTTGTCTTGTGTCCAGAGCTTCAAGCAACTGCACGCCCATCGCTCGAGCACCTTGGCGGATGGTCAAACACAGGCTACCTGGAACTGCACATGGCGCAGTCCGTAGCGGCTGATGATGCTCCTCGAACATCTGAATCTGCACCTTCAGTTCCGGTCCCTTCATCTCCAGCCGAGACACCGGCATGCGATGAAGCGTTGGGCCAAGTCGAGGTACCACACCACAGCGATGGTGGCGATGTTACGCTGAAGGATGCCGTGGATACTCCTGCAACCACCGGCGAGCTTTCTACAAAGTCTAGCATAGACCGCATCGCACACGGGTGGAAGACTACGATCTTGGCTATCAACGCTAAAGATCACCTGAAGGGTATGAAGCGCACAGGTGGTGGTGTAGGCAGCTCACGCCACGACGCCTCGCAGAAGAGCATCGAGACGTTCTTCAAGCGACGGAAGGTCGAATGAAGTCAGCGTGAGGGTCGATGACTTAGAGAACTTGGTAAGCATAGTCCTCCTTTCTTTTCTCCTTGCAATGATGATAAAACGATTATTCACAGACCTGTTCTGAATTATCATGTGGACCAAATATCCAACTGCTGTCTGACACGCAAGCTTGCTTCACCTCTGTCAACCATTCTTCAGGAGGAACAATGCTGACAAGAGTATCATAGGTTTTCACCGCTTTTTCGGATGCGCGCACGCATTTCGTCTACCTTGGTCTTGCCGCATGGAGCCAGGCTTTCATTTAATTTCAACTATCAAGTCTGCCTCGGTCACCAGCTCTTAGAGCATAATTGAAATGACTTCTACATTATCTTCAACTTTCGCGGATGTGTTCATACCACTGCCCGACCTGTGCGCGCCATGCCGTACGCACTTACCAAGATGATGACGTCGTGGGAGATCCTCCAGCAGCCTTGTGCAAAGCACTGGGACCGTCGCATCGAGCGCAAGGAGACGGGTGCGTGCAACACGTCAACTCCCGCAAGCAAATTAGGCGGTGTACGTGCAGACCAGCAACTTTATTCGCGACCAGTCAAGAGCGTGACGTCGTAGTGCGAGCTGTCAATGTGTCACGGGCATCTTGACAGCTTACTGGCCAGGTGTACCCCGGGAACTTGAGAGCGTTGCGACGGTGTCACGATGATTTCCAGTCCGTGATGGCGTTGTTTTATGGCCCGTGCACTGATTTGGTGTGCAACACCAAACCAACTCGACCGCATCGTAACCGCGAAAGCCCAGGCTCCCATGCATCAAGGCAATGTTCTGGCGCGCTTCAGATCTTCCCACTGTTGCATCTTGCAGATCTCGTGCTGCATGCATGCGCCGCGCGAAACGTTCTTGTGCGACAAACATGGTTTTTGGGCGGATGGCTGGTCGTCCCCAGCCTCACGATTCAGCCCCCTGCTCTTGGTTGACCGCCATCAAAGCCTGCATGTTATATAAGGCTGGGAGGCTGGAATGCGCATGATCTGCACTATCGACATTCAATCACTTCTCAAGGATCTTTTTGGGGCATCCCGTCCAGCCTGATCTCACCCGACCAATCAAAGCCACGCATACCGTGTTCATCGTATCGACCGCCATCAAAATGAAGACCGCCACAACGCTATTCACGTTATTCGCATCGATTTCTACGTCACACGCAGTCGCACTCAGCACAGTCGAGCCTTCAATCTACCCTCCTGGCGTCTTGCCATCATTCACACCGGGTGTCATTCCAGGCTACACTCCTGGTCTCGGCTTACCATCCAACATGCCAGCGCCAACAGACGTCCCAACTTTCACCCTCTCACCACTTCCAAGTGCTTCTATCCCGGCTTCTGCTAGTTCAGGAGCAACTACACCCATGGTTCCGATCTCAAGCGCAGCTTCGTCGCTCGCATCTCTGGCATCGTCTCTCGCATCCACAAACCCACCATCATCCTCAACACTCGCACCAACATCCACACCGCAATCAACATCCGCCCGTTCAACACTCGGTACCAGGAGCTCCTCTGCAACATCGCAGAGCACCAGCATACCTCCCGCGCCCAGCGCAGCAGGCGCGAGCGGAAGTCTAGGCGGGCAAGGAAAAGAGAGGGTATGGTGGGTTACGTTCTTGTTACCGCTCCTTGTCCTGGCGTAAGGGCCGGCAATGAAGATGGGTGCATTTATGGCTTACGAATTCTTTTGATGTATATGTCACGATTACTTTGGGTTAATGTGTAAGTCTGGTATGGTCTACCGGAGTTATGATTAGATGGGCTGGATATTTACCGGAGTCGTAATTAGATGGGATGTAAGATTTGGGTATACCTATGTGTTTTTGAAGCGCTGGGTATGGATTGGCATGATAATGTCGAGTATGTGGGTGGATATAGCATGTGGTGGGCATGTTCAGACGACAGTATGCAGTGTATGTAGTATAATAATATGCAAGATACCTCAACAATGATGCTTCCGCAGCAATCGTGCAAAGAACACTTTCCATATGCGAGCTTGCAAGATTGGTTGATAGACACTTATAGAGCCGTTCAAGACTTGCGGTGGTGGTGTAGCGGAACTGCATGTGCTATAGTATTGCGGTCCATGGAGTGTTTCACCGCCATCCAAACTTCAAGCTTTATACCAGAACATGCGATGGTCGAGTCCGTATAGTCCGTATGGTCTATCGTGTTTCAATACATGGAGTGAGAGCTGTGACAAGAGTGACTAGACTTTACAATGGAGTCCTACACTATCCGTTACAATGTGATGGAAGCGAGAGGGTGATCCGGGGTAGCAATGCGGAGGCGGTTGTTCTGCGGGTTTTAATGAGGGGTGGTCCCCAATTAGGCTAGTGTGCTTATCGGAACCGCGCTTTCTTCCGTCAATGAGCTTTCGGGCTTCATTAACGTCAGACGCGCCCAATGACGCATCGTAAAAGCGTCTTCCTTTAATCTTCTAGAAGCACGCATCGAGATCAGATTCACATTTACTCTTTGCTACCTTTCAAGGATGCTGTTTGATGCACAATACCAAGCTCGATAAAAAGCGGCCACGCTTCGTCGACAGTCGCGCCGAGATGATCGACCTGGATAAAAGCCGATCAAGACATATAACATCTTGTTAGATCAGGCATCTTCATTTAGGGACCGTAGTGTCGGCGGGAGATTGCCCGTTTTCCCATGGCTGCCACATACCTGGTGCAGGTCCCCTGCAGGTTATTTTAGACATGCAGAGCCAGTATAAGATCTCGACAAGGTAGGCTTCGTTGACCCAGAAGATCTTCGAGACCCTTTCGGCCACCAGGAACGATGATAATGCTTTCTATCAAGACTGCATTCCTCCTAGGAAATCTCTTCTATCTTCCTTCGAGCGCATACGATCTCGTTCGAAGACAGCAGGCCGCCAATGCCACCTACAAGGACCCATCGGCCTCGGTCGACGACAGGGTGGCTGATTTACTCTCGCGCATGACCATCGAGGAGAAAACTGCTCAACTAATCCAAGGCGACATCTCGAATTGGATGAACACCACGACCAAAGCGTTCAACGACACCGGACTGGAATGGAACTTCAGAGCTCGCGCCGGGCAGTTCTACGTCGGATATGCAATGCCGCCCGAATGGATTAGCGAGGGTACAAAGCGCGCGCAGGACTACCTTGTGCACAATACGACCCTGGGTATTCCTGCATTGGTCCAGACAGAAGGCATTCATGGCGTTCTGTATGGCAATGCAACGATCTTCAACAGCCCCATCGCGCATGCATGTTCATGGGATCCGGAGCTCATCCACGACATGGCTGTCGCAATCGGAAAGGAAAGTCAGGCCCATGGAATCAATCAGATCTTTGCACCAGTGGCTGATCTCGCGCGCGAGTTAAGATTCGGTAGAGTGGAAGAGACGTATGGCGAGGATGGCTTCCTCGCGGGTGAGATGTCGTACGAATACGTCAAGGGCATCCAGAGTTTGAATGTCAGTGCGACAGTGAAGCATTTCGCCGGGTTCAGTGCGCCGGAGCAGGGACTCAACACGGGACCTGTGCATGGAGGAGAGCGAGAGCTGCGCACGACTTGGCTGCCCTCGTTTAAGCGTGCGATTGTTGATGGAGATGCATGGAGTATTATGGGAGCCTATCATAGGTAAGTGGATGGTACATTTACCGGACTATAGACATGGACTGACTTCGGGGTTTCTTCTCTCTGCTAGCTATGACGGAATACCTTCAGTAGCTGATGGGCACCTTCAAGAGACGATTTTGCGTGATGAGTGGGGCTACAAGTACTTCGTCACTTCTGATGCGGGAGCGACTGACCGCCTGTGTTGCGCCTTCAAGCTCTGCCAGTGCAAGACGGCTACCAAGCCGATTGACAAAGAGGCAGTAACCTTGATGACTCTCCCCAATGGCAATGACGTAGAGATGGGCGGTGGCTCGTACAACTTCGAGACCATTCCAAAACTCGTCAAAGACGGCAAGCTGGATATTGAAGTGGTCGACCGCGCAGTGTCACGACAACTCCGAGCCAAATTTGCAATGGGCTTATTCGAGAATCCATACCAAGGCCTGCCGCCGAACGCAACAAAGTCTGTTGTTCATACAGAAGAACATGTCAAGCTCGCCCGCACGATCGAAGCTGATTCAATCGTCCTGCTCGAGAACAAGAAGAAGATACTGCCATTGTCCAAATCCTCCAAGATTGCTGTCATCGGACCCATGGCGAACATCACCAATCTCGGTGACTACGTCGTCTACCGTTCGCAATACAACCCAACCAATGTGACACCCCTCCAAGGTATTCAGCAGGCCACAAATGGCACTGTTACGTATGCACAAGGCTGTGAGCGGTGGTCGAACGATCAGTCCGGCTTCCCTGCTGCAGTATCCGCTGCAGAAGCCGCCGATGTGGCTGTCGTCGTGGTCGGCACTTGGTCCCGCGACCAGAATGAGCTATGGCAAGGTTTGAATGCTACCACCGGCGAACACGTCGACGTCGCTTCATTGAACCTCGTCGGCGCAATGGGCCCGCTCGTGCAAGCCATCATCGAGACTGGCAAGCCGACCATCGTAGTCTACTCATCTGGCAAGCCCATCACCGAGCCCTGGATTTCTGAAAATGCAGCGGCTCTACTGCAGCAATTCTACCCTGGCGAACAAGGCGGTAATGGGTTGGCTGACGTTCTGTTCGGCGATGTCAGCCCCTCTGGCAAGCTCGCAGTTTCATTTCCACACGATGTAGGCACGCTTCCTGTCTACTACGATTACTTGAACTCTGGACGATCGACCGATGCTGGTGCGGTAATGACCAACGGCACGTTGAAGTTTGGTCATCAATATGTCCTCAATACGCCTCAGCCGTTGTACGAGTTCGGCTATGGGCTCTCTTACGCGAATTTCACTTATTCCAACGTCACGCTTTCGAAGACTGAAGTCAGCCCCGACGACACAATCACTGCGACTGTCAGTGTTACGAACACATCGCCCGTCGATGGAAAAGAAGTGGTGCAGGTATATATCCAGGACGTACTGGCAAGCATCGTGGTGCCAAACATGGAGCTGAAAGGCTTCAAGAAAGTGTCGGTTAAGGCTGGAGAGACAGTTGAGGCGAAAATAGAGCTCAATGTGGGCAATTGGGGGCTGTGGGATAGGAAGATGCAATATGTGGTTGAGAAGGGCGAGTTTGTTGTGCATGTCGGTGCCAGTTCGAAAAATCTGAGGGGCAACGCGACTGTAACAGTGGTATAGAATGTGGCGCCGTGACAATGCCGCCGAGGGCGTGCTGTGCCGCACGGAACTAGCCTTTCTAATAGCATGTACAAGTAACGTATGCCACATGATGCGCGACGACTCTATTTATATCTCCCACTCGCGTTTATCAATTGTTGAGCACGTGCAGCCCCGCGCCAATATTCTCGGTGTCGTCCTGAAGGCCCATTCACCCAGAATTGGAGCTTCGGCGCTTGGGCTCCGCATACTCGCACCTAGCCAATCCTCCACCTCCACCTCTACACCACAACTCTTATTCCCCTTGTCTCTTCGTATCAGCGTGCTGAGCATCATGGATAGCTCATCTCTATCAGAGGGAGAGCGCATCGCGTATGAGGAAGATGATGGTCGTTTCGACGTGACCATTGAGGACGATGATCTCCAGGAAATCGTGCACAGCAAGAAGCTCCACCTGGCTGTCAACCCCAAGTACGGACAAGGTTGGACACGTGAGCATGGCTTTCGCGAGTTCGTACAGAATTGGTGGGTTAAATCACATAGACTCAAAGTCAACACTGACATGCAACAGGAGAGATGGTATCATGAAGAAGAACTCCATGTCGCACGCCACGTTCCGCGCCAATCTTGAAGTTAAAAAAGAGCCTGGCCTCATCGAGATTTGCAGCTACCGATCTCAGGGACATGCCAATGATAAAAAGCTCCTCGGCTTCATCCGCTTCAAGTACGACAAGGCTACGCTTGCTGGTGTTCTCACCATCAGCAACTTCGATGCGCGCCTTCAACTTTGGCACTTCATGTTCGGCGGCACCACCAAAGACAAGGACACGACACAGACAGGTCAGCATGGAGAAGGCATGAAGATGGCGATTCTCATCTTCCGGAAGCATCCCAATAATCACACTATGCGCATCGAAGCTTCCGGGTTCTCTTGGGCCTTCAACTTCGATGGCCAGAGACAGCTAGTCTGCAACTTGACGCGGATCGGTAAGGAGCGAATCAGGAAAGAGAAGCTAGCAGTGCATGGTCAGCCGCGGACCACGGACGCACGCTGCTGGTCGGATGTCTCCATTGTGATTGGTGAGCCGAGATTGCAAGTTGATGGGACAGGCATGCAGGTAAGGAGTAATAAGAAGATTCTTCTCTCTGATTTTGAGCAGTGGCTGGAAATCTGTCTCGACTTCAAGAATCCCAAGACGGTGCCGACGAAGACTGGCGAGCTCATTCTCGACGGGGATTGTGCGAATAAGCTCTATCTTCAAGGAATTCACTTGTCTAGTAGCTCGAATGCACCCAAGAGCTACCGCTTCGGCTACAACTTTTTTCAAGGGTACACGGACCGCGAGCGTCGTGTTATCGGACACGACGGCAAGAAATGGAGCGAACCAAGCCTTGTCAATGCAATCTGGGCGGAGGTACTAGATACCAAAAAAGAAGAGTACATCGACATATATACTAATATGATGCTCGAGAGTACGGACAAGGTCGCTGATGTTACGTTGGCCGTCAATGGGTACTGGCTCCCGCGCGAGGTGATTTGCAAGGTGTGGAAACAGATGCGAAGCATGAACGTCGGTGAGGATGGCCGGCCAGCATTCTATCATGCACCAGACTTGAGGAGCAATGTAGGTCTGCCTGTCTCAGGCTAGCACAAGACTGACATGTACAAGGACATCAACGTCGTCACCAACAATCTTGACATGCATCCTCATCGCATTCCTGAGGATGTGTGGAAGATGCTTCGCTCTTACAAACTCTGCCGGACACCACAAGAAGAGCTAGAAGATCGGTTCAAAAATTCCGAGCCAGTGTCTTTGCCGGATACACCATTTGCGCAGAACTTGCACTGGATGTTGCGGTGTTGTCTCGTTTCACGCTCAGATACGGAGGCCATGACAATCGAGTATGTCCGTGGCCAAGGACTTGGAATCGATGCGGCTGTATTCGGCACCCAGATCAAAGTAAGCGATCGCTTCTTGACTTACACGGACGCGCACAGCATGGAGACATGCGGTGATCCAGAGCCAAACGATACGGTCCCCTTCTCATGTGATCATCTTGTCCTAGAGCTGTGGAGCAACCTCTTGGCTCTGCTTCCGTCTACGACTGCTTCGCTCTTCGATACCAAAGCAGAGCATCGCACCAAGAGCCTGATGGCCAAACGCCTTTCTCAGATGCCAAGAATGATCACATGCGCTCAGACTGTCCGCAGAGGCGAGCTCAGAGTGACTTGGGAGTCCAACGAGTCGGCTCGAAACAGTGACCGCCCAGTGGTAGTTGTTGTTCACAAGGTAGGGTGTACGCATGGAAATGTCCCGGCAATCAAAATTGATGATGCTGCAGAACGTAGGCAAATACCCCATTCAAATTACACTGCGTACTGACAAGCTCCAGATTTTGGATGTCACTGTCCCTTCCAGCTGTCTAAGATCGGAAGTCGTACCATAGTGTTCAAAGATCTCGTGGTGGAGGAGTACTATGCTACAGTTTCATGCACAATCCAGAACTCCTTCTCCAGTGAGCCAAGTGAGGTGGTACTTCCTCGTTCAATTGTATGGAGAGTGACTGGTTTGGCGGTCTGAGCCACGCTGAAGTCCTTGTCTCAAGCGGCCACAGAAGTTCATGCGAAGACGTCAACAAGAAGACAAGTGTGAACCAGAATTCAATACTACCCCTCCGGCACCCATCAGACAGCACACGTCTTCAGTTGGTGTGCAGCTGAGCTCTACTCCGTTCAGATCTGGTCGGTCGCAGGAGATGTTCGATTCGTCAAGCCAGGCTTCACCCACTCTCAGCGTCACGGCATCTTCCCGCCCGGAAAGCTATAGTAAGTGTCTACATATCTTCTTTATGATCTCAATTTAACATTACATCAGCGATCGGAACCAGAGTAGACCATCGAGAGCTCAAGTGGGACTCTGGCTTTCCGGGAAGTCACGAGTTCTACTATGCTCAGGGTAGAATAGACAACGTATATATTGCCCGTCCCCGCGATACCGGTATTAACGAGAATGGAAAGCGACCACAACAAGGACTCGCGGAGGATACGTCGGCGAAGAAAGCAAGGCATATCTTCGGCAAGACAGGCTGGAGTGCTTCTCTCCCAGGTACCGCTGCATCAGGTCTTTTGGCTGGAAGAGAAAGGCCCGGAGCTTGAGCTGACTATATTTATCCGGAACAGGCACTGGTATAGACTATTCGGTATCCTCCAGATTCAATACTATACACAAATAATTACACACTTCTCAGCTATGCAGACTTGTGGTCGAACCTGTGCTTAGTCGACGATACCTGATCAGTCTCCTCCTCAACCGAGTGGCTCTCGATGACAGTAGACTTGCCAATATCAAACCTTACAGCAGCTTCATCCTCCGTGAAATTCCCGTAGACATCGAATTCGTCCGTGACGCCCAGACCAGGCGGTGGAGAGATCTTGTTCAAGGCATAGAAGGCCAAGAAGCTTACCACGAAGCCCAAGGGATAAGCCAGGTAGTACAGACGGGTGCATGCTTCCGGTACCTTGACTTTGGGATTCACAGCGTGTGCGAAACCGGGCAGCAAGTAACCCCAGCCAATTGCCCACGCCACGAAGCTCCGCCAATTAATGCCGTACCAGAAATAATACAGGCCATCCTTTCCTGCACAAGGTTAGCTTTGGATTGATTGGATTGTAGATTCAATCTCATCTACTCACCAGGGTGATAGAGGTCGGATAGCTTCAGCTTCCTTCGCCTCACACACAAAGTAGTCGCACGTCATGATGCCTACCATCGGTCCGAA